GAATAAATAAAATGCAAAACAAGGACTAACTACATTAAAGTGCCTGTGACATGCATATGATTCAAATACAAAAAGTCTAAAAACATCTTTACATTTAAGAAACCTGGCATAAAACACATTTTTTACACAGTTTGTCACATATGGCCTATTTTCTTTAGAACTTGGTTCAGCCAAAATGAAACAGGAAGTGACATCAATGGGGAACTCTTCAAAAAACTCTCTGGTCTTTGTCAAAGCAATATTATTTGAACTTTGACCCTTCTTCATCTCTCTGATAGTAAGCCAAAATAATCTAAGGAAACATGAGATTTTTTTTCTGTCTGTGTTGTTAGCTGTTATAGCAACACTCTGTTTACATGCAGATATTCACATTTGACATCACTTCCTGGTGCTTCAAATGCAAATACCTCAACAATAGTTCATTGCAAAGGCCTGAAATTTCTTTTACAATATTTTATCTATGTTATATTTCCAAAAATGTATTCATATTTATTATAAAAGTTTACTGCCACAGGCATTTTAATATATTTGTATAAGTGAAGTTTTAGAAGATATGGCACTTTTAAATTGGCTGTTGGGAGCAGTGGTTATTAGGACCAAAAACTATTACTCATGATCAAAAATGTTACAAAAACAATGCAAATGAATCTAAAATGAAACAAAACTTGTCTGTACAGACTAAAAAAAGTAAAATGCAACTAATGAATATTATACACATCACATAACAATTTAAAATTTAGAAAAAAGAAACAAACAAAACCTTGTCAAAAACAGAGTACTAAATTAAATACCTAAATAAAAAAAACAAAAATCAAAATAATCATGATTGATGTTTAAACTGAACAACAAGATGGTGCAAAATTACCAAAAAGGAATAAACAATAAACAAATGCAAAATGACAATAAAGACACAAGACAAGATGATTATTTAAACTGATCATGACAAAACTGGTTCAGAGGTTCAATAATCCTGAGACAAACTTATCTGAACTGTAGATTTTAAAGTTCATCAACCTGCTGTTTCTGTGGGAAAACGTTTCAGATGTGAGCCACATAGTGTGTAACACGTATGTGGGTCAGTGTGAGCAGCTCTTGGGAAAGTAGGCCACTCTGCCGCTAACACAGACCTCACATTGTTCGAGCTCAGCGAGCAGCTTCCTGAGTTAAACTCGTCACTTTAGTTCACTTTAATCCAGTCATTTCTGATGAAACAGCCTGGAAGCTGAGAGAGCAGAGACCAGCTGCAGTCAGCAAACAGAGGGTTAGTGTAACTGAAGTGATGATTCTGCAGCTTTGTCTTCTGATGTTTGAAATAACCCGAATAGACAAACATCACCCTAAAGTTATTGATTCTACTGAAGCCCAAACTGAAATGTTCATCAGCTGTCATCTGCTGTATGCCATCTTTTCAGCTAACAGCATTTATTGGAGTTAAAATTGTATTTTCTGATGAACTGTTATTTTATCTTTTTTTTATCATAAATTCACTAAAAGAATTTGAGAAATTGTGTTTCTGTGACAGGCTGCTGCTAACAATGAGCATACAGATCTCGTTTAAATCTGTTTTACAAAACTTGTATTTCTCAATGGGCCTCATGCAAGAACCGTTCGTACGCACAGATTTGTTCTTAAGTTGTGTGTACGAGTGATTTAGGAGAATTTGTGGCATTCACCAATGTTTTCATATTCTAAGATTTTTTTCAGATACGAACAAAATTCACGAGTGGTCCAGACCTGTCGTATATTTTACGAGCAGTCAGTCTGCTGTTATCTGCCTGATATCTGAGGCAGGAAACATAGCCTTATATGGTGTTTTTGGGGTGGTAATTTTGCTAATCTCCTCTCGCGTGCACGAGCAGCTGGATACGAACAGGTGGAATTTACGCAGCTCATTTACACACTTTTCCTGAAGATAGAAGAGTTTGTTGAATCTGACGTGACATGTTCGTACGAACCCTTCGTATGAACAAAAGTAAGAGAAATTTAGGAGAAGAATACGAACATGTTCTTGCATGAGGCACAATGATTCAGGGGTTAGAATTAAAAACGTTTCTTTGACAAAGTTATGGTGCAAGGACGGAGTCTGAGTGAAAAGTCATCCAAAGTCCAAAGAAAATGTCTGCAACTTTCAGAAAATATCAACCATCGGTGGAGGGTGCAAATTCTAGATCTAGAAAGAACCAAAATAGTTTATTAAAACACCCCTCGAAATACACAGAGAACTAACATAGTATGTACAAAAAATATAGAGACCAACAAACTGGACAACAGTGACTGAATAAACAGAGCAGAATTAAGTGGAAAGTGGAGACCCCTGTGGCAGACCAACTGGAACATACTCTGAGGAGGAAACAAAGAAATATTGGATAGAGCAGAGGTGTCAGACTGATTTTCATAAAGGGTCATTTTAGCATTATGACGGTCCACAAATGCCCAGTTGTAACAAACTTTGTTTCATGTTTAACTTTGACTGCACAAAACGTCACATTCTTTGTCTCGTTTCTTCAGCTGAGCACCTCTAACAAACAATAACTGAGCTCTACAGCTTGAACACCTCCTAAACCAGGGGTGGGCAGTCCTGGTCCTGGAGGGCTGCAGCCCTACATGTTTTACTTGTTTCTCTGCTCCAACACACCTGATATGAATGAACAGATGATTATCAGGCTTCTGCAGTACGGAGGACCCAAACTGACATAATTAGAAATAAAAGCAGAATTACATGAAGAATTAAATAAATACACCTAAAATGCACCAATTAAATTAAAAAAGGAGAACTTATCTCCTGTTTTATATTTTAATTGACTTTCATATTCATTTTTCCAGGTTAGTTCCAATAAATTAGTCTATATATTTGAACACAATTTAAATGTTACTGTTTTTTTAAATACGTATTAATTGTTTCTCCTTTTACGTCTACATGCATTTGCATGTCTTAAATGTTTATACTTAAGCATTTTTTAGACATTTTTTCAAACAAGTCTTTTTATTTCTATGTGCTGTATGCTTGCACTGCCTCAGTTTAGCTAAAAGTTTAAAGTTTAGTTTAAAACAAAGGCAAGGAGGAAAACATTACTTGTGCATTTATTTTTAACTAAATTATAAGCTAAACTGCAGCAGCACAAGTATGCAACACATAGAAATAAAAAGACTTGTTGGACAAAATTATAAACATAATTCAATTTAAACATTCAAGAGACACAAATGCATGTACAC